ATTAATGTGAAAGTCTATATAGGATTCAAATACTATAAGAATAAATGAAGAAATTAATAAATAACATCTAATATCATTTTACTATTCATATAAATATGATTCATCTCGCTTTTAATAATAATTTCTCACAATATATATATATATATATATATATATATATATTCATAACTAAAAATAATATAAAAGAGAAAAGGAAAGATTTATTAGAAAAATAATTATATTTTTTTTTAGTTTTTTAAATATTTTAAGTGATTTGATTCTATTCTATATAGGAGGAATATGGGAAACCATTATAAAAGAGAGAACATATAAGTAAAATGCTCTATCTTAATGTTATATATGTGTTTCATGCCATGGATGTTAAACCATGCAAATTTTGTTGCTCCTCATTACTTTGGGGACATGTGATGTCAACATGCCAATTCTGTCCCATAATCCATGAAAAAGAACTCCAGTTTCTTTAAAAAACGAGACATACTTTAATTCCTATCAACCTGTATAGGAGTGTCTTCATAAGTTTACAGATTATAAGTATACACCAATGACTCAGAAAATTTAGACTTGTAAATATTTTTAAAGCGAAATACAGAAACCAAATTTCAATTGTAAAATAAAGTATTTTATTTTAATGAAAAAACTGATTAAAATATAGTTTGTTGATTGGACCACGACCCAACTGATTGTTGATAAAAGATGTGCATGCGTAACTTCACGAAACATATGTGTCCGTATAACTTGGCATCATTATCCGTTTTGGTATAAAAGGGAATTTCATTTTGAATTGTGCTTTGAATTGTATATTATTATTACTACAATCAATTTCATATACTTTGAGAATATTCTTTTTTCAAGCATATTCCCTACCTCCCTTTGTGGGATCGTATGAATCAAAAACAACGATTTGATTTTCAAATTCTTGCTCCTATGACAGAAAATCAGTTTATTTCAATTTGTTTATTGTCAAATATTATATTATATTAATTATTTTTAGTTTTAATGATTTACACATGTATTTATTATGTTAGATAAATAGAAAATAAAATAAGAAATTACACAATTATTTATTAAAATAAGAAAAACAATTATATGTTTTTATTTTTGCAAAACAATCTTAGAAACAGATAAAAAAAATGACAGATGAAGTAATCAACACTTTTACTTTATATTACTCTTCTCTGTTTTGTTTTTTAAATGTGATATATTTTTTTAATAATTTTCGTTTTTATTTATGTTATATTTATAAAATCTACTAATATTTTAATTTTCTTTTTATCAATTATATTCTTATGTATTTTTAATTTTTTAAATAATATATATATGTATATTATATAATAGACAATAAGAAATAGATAAAATAAATAAATCACCAACTATTTTATCAAAATTAAGAAAAAATATTATTGTTCTTAATTTTTGCAAAATAACCTTAAAATCTAAATAATGAAAATCGATGTTAGTTATTTCATATTTTATATTTATATTAATTTTTAAAATAAATATCATTTTGATTTTCTTCAGCTCTTGATTTATGATTTTAGTCTTATTTTTTTTCCCGTGACTTTAGTCTTTATATTTCAGAAAAATCTTTAATTTTGGTCTAATGTTTAATTTTACATGTATGTATTTTATTTCTTAATTAAATATTTTTATTAATTAAAATTATTTTATGGTATCTTACGAAATGTTTATATTAAACATTCAATTAAAAAATATCATGGGTGAAATTAAGAATAAAATTGTCAAATTTTTAAAATATGAGAACTACAATTGGGAAAATAAATTGAAGAACTAAAAATTGAAATAAAAAACTGATGTGTTACTTTTTATTTATTTATTAATTCAAACTACACAACTTGAGAATTATATTTTCACCGAATTCTCCGTTCAAAATGCGCAAAAAATTAGTAGGGTACATAATTTTGTATGCGTCGTATAAAATTAATATTTCAGGGAAAGAATAATACAAATAACAATAATGTAAAATAGGAACAATGTAAGACCAAATAAGGAAAACATTCTTTACTAGTTTAAAAAATATACATAGACAATGTAAAACGAAATAAATGAGTATTTTAATACGCAATGTACAAATTACTGACAATTTGATAATTGAAAAAAATGATTTAGTTTTTGAATTATCAAAAATACAATAATTATATTTTGTTATACTATTTAACGTTAAATTAGTTATCGAAAAAATAATTTAGTATCAAATTGGTTTTTAAACATCGTAATTATAAAATAAAATTATTCAACAAATTATCGTCAAAACGTAATTATTATACTTTTAGAAACGAAATTAGGATTTTTATTCGACTAAACTATTACTAATTTACGCTTTCAATTAAGAAAATGACAGTGAGAGATATTATGGGCCTATCAAGTGTTGTGGGCCTTGCTTGAAGTGTTATACTCTGGGCCTTTTGTTCTTTTAGGAGTAAGATACATTATTCCTGTAACTTTATATGTTTATCTGTACCCATATTTATATTAAAAAATAATATTGTTTTTCCTGTAAAATAATTTTTTAATTCTATTTTTCGGAGTTTTAGGAATGAATTTTCTGAAAAGTTTTCAGAAATATCAATCTGAAATATTGTTTTAAAGTTGATGAAAAAGTAAATCTAGAACTTAAATCATATATGTAAAAATCATTTTTAAAATTAACTTTTCATAAACTTTCATATATTTATCTTTTTAAAATGATACAATTATATTTAAAAATTTATAATTCAAAACTTAAAAAACTATATGTTTTCAGATTCATTTATCCAAAAATTTTCTAAATTTTTTAATTTAGAATATATTTTTGAATTATTAGTTTTATAGATTATAAAAATGTTATTGTTTTTCAAATAAATATGAGTTTCATAAAGAATATGCCCTAAAACTATGGTGTTGTGTGATTTTTCTCCCACATATTTAACACATTTATTTAACAAGCCATTGCGAAATAATTTAATTAGTTAAAATACAAAAATAAAAATAAAAAGCAAAATTGAGGACCGGATAGAATTTTTCATTACTATAAAGACTAAAGTAAAGAAAAAATAGAACTGAAAGTATAATTAAAATAATGTAAAATATGATTTGAGAATTAATTATTGTTAAAAGTAACAAACATAGAGTAAAATAGAATAGTGTAGCATTGAGTTATGGGAAAAAGGTTTTATTGTCTCTTCCTAAGTGTTGTCATGACTCATTGACGTATTTGAAGGAGAAGGTTTTTTTGTAATTCAATAGAAATTAATTTAATTTTTTTCTGAGAGGAAAACTAACCTTGGTCAAGAACAGGTCAAATGTTGATTAGGTAAAACAAATATTTTTTCTATGTACCACAATTACAATTCTTTATTACATCCATCTTATGATATTGTCGCTTTAGAAACTTCACCAAGTCTTCAATCATTTACATTTTTATTTTTTTTCCCCTAAGATTAATGATACATTATGTGTGAGTCAACAAAAATCAATGGGCCATTTTTTAAATTTAAGGTCTTCGGTTAAGTTAAACCAGTATTTCTTGTTAAATTAAAATTATTTTATTAGTAGATATTTTTTCATATAACGTTATCTATTTTTTTGTTCTTACTTCGAAGTTAGTCCAATATTGGTTTTCTGGACAAAGTTATAGTCCAATATTGGTTTTCTGAACAAAGATAAGTACCTTTTTTGGAGAAAATTGGTTTCTTGTTCGTAGATTTTTTTTTATGTTTTTTGAATCATATTTTTCAAAGGCAAGATTAATTATCTGTAAATTGTATAATTTTCTTCTTCATGTCGTAGAATGTTCACGCGACTCATTCTCATTACATCAAGATCCATGGTGGTTCAGGAGAAGAATGGGAAAATCTTGCATTCTCGTGGGACACAGCAACAAACATTGTACTCTTGAAAGTTGAAAGAGAGAATGTGTTCAATTTAAAAGATTATGAAAGGTCAAAGTTCTTAGACTTTGAATATATGTTAGGAAAGTTCTAAGAATTCTTTCTTAATTGAATCAACAATGTACAGAAACAGAAGTTACTACTTGAAAATGCATGCAATCTTGAAAATTTCACCAAATTGCATGTTCGTCCTTTTTGTTGGAATAAAACACGTTTTCAATATCCAACTAATAAACATGGTTTAATGCCAATTTGAATACTCATAAATTTCAAAGGAAGAAAAAAAAAAAGGAGGGATATCTATATATCATATGTCTAATTCCTTCATCAATGTTCACATGGTTCTTGATTTTTCTGAAAAAAAAGAGAAGAAATTTCTTTTCATTCAACATGGTGGTGGATCATCACATGTTGTGGTCATCGAAAGACACCACACACTAACCAAACGAGACATATTTGACCAAAAGAAAACTAAGACAAAAAAAAAATATATATATATATATATATATATATATATATATATATATATATATATCAGCAATAATAATAATAATAACAACAACAGTGCTTTGGCATATCAGGTTGTTGGGAAGATTGTAATTAAATAGAGTTCCAACAATATATCTTGTAATGTTCTTTTCAATAATTATTTTTTATTTAGAAACTATAAAGTTGTAAGTTTAGATTTATTAAACTATAAATTATAGCATTTCTCTGAAATGTACTGTAATATAGTTGACAATGTTTTTCCAACTTTGATGTCACCTTGGCAATGTACACATTTAAGGAACCTGTCGTGTGCATGAAAATAAAGAGTCCAATGTTACCTATAGAGCCTGTTTTGGGGTGCTTAGCCCTTGCCACACTTCCATCTTTGAAGAGTCAAAGTGAACAAACAAGTTATGTTTACATTGGTTCAACGATTAGCAGTTTCCATCTCATTGACTACGCTGTTTCTTAAGTTACTTCTTTATCTAAGCCCATACACTGTACATCTTCTTCTTACTTCTTCCCCCCCACACACAATTCGGAGATCTTTTCATTCACACCCTTTTCACCATTGGTGCTGTTGTTCTCTCCTGAGGAAAAAAAAACAAAAAACAAACTTTCATCATGGGAAACTGCTGCAGAAAACCAGTGACTCATGTGTCTTCCACGAGTTTCTTTGGTCAGTTTTAATTTGGTTAATTAATCATGTTTATATGCGTTTGCCTTCATTTTTCTTTAGTACAATGTATAAATAAGTCTGAAGTTATTTTTCTTCAGCTTTGCTGTTATTCTCACTTAGCACTTGTCGTGCCACTAGGTTGATGCATGATGATGCTTTGAATTTTAATAATTGTTGGTGGACATTTGGTTTCCACGGAGAAAAGAAGAAGGTGATGGTTTCCGAAGGGTAACAGTTAAAACAATGGTTCATAGGTTGTAACGTGAAAGATTATAGGACTAGCCATTCTTGAACAAACCTTTTTTTTTTCTTGTTTTTCAGTGGTCTCAAGTTTGTGGTTTCCTAGAATTGAATGGAATTTTTGTTAACTGAAATGTAAAACTCCAGATTGTGTTGGTATTGGTATGAAAAATGGAGATTACTTAGGTTTCTTCGCTCTGATTCAGGCTCTGAATAATGTAGAATGATTTTCGCTTCTTCGCTCTGATTCATGTTCTAAATAGTGTAGAATGATTTTCACTTCTTTATTCTTAGATGCAATAGCTGGTAACATTAGTTGCATTTTCATTTGGCCAATTTTTCTTTCTTTTCAACAGTAAGGTTCTAATTGTATATTACTGGACCTTTGTTTGAAATTTCCTCCCTCTCCAATTGCTTTTTTGAATAAATTCTTATCAATGGAAAATAGTGAAAAGGGGCTAGTTCATAGATGAAATTCGTTGACCAAAAATCATTCCATTTATGGTGTTAGGTTTGGAAATTTAATGACCTTTGGTTCTTTGTTCATTACTGTTCTTTTATTTTGTGCATGCAGTCTGCCCCCAACACTCTGGCTGTGGGACTCACTTCATTATTTGTTCAATCCTTCTTCGTTTTTTTCTTTTGTACTAAGCATATATATTAAGCAGGTTCTTCTTTTAGCATAAATATGTCTCGTTTAGCAAGTTAAAAGGCTCTGGTATAGGGTAAAGTAACCTCAGAAAGGGGTGTTTGAGAGATGAAATCAAAGAGTGAGAACATTGTGCCAAAGTAGGATCTTAGTGCAGAAGATTTAAAGTAGGCTTGATAAAAAACCACCCTTCATGTAACGAGATAGGCAAATAGCATGTATATAATGTGCATATATGTATGCTTACTCGAATCAATCCTCATCTTTCCAGATCCTTCCATGTATATTCTAACATAACTTGTCTTTCATTGACATACAATATTTTAATGATTTTGATTATTATACTTAATTGAATCATTTCTCTGTGGCACCTCGTAACTAGTAATCAACTTGCACATAATATTGCAAGCTTCTGTACTAGATTATAGAAGTTACTCTGATGGTTGATTGTAAATTGAATTTCATCTACTCTCAGGAAGCACAAAGTCTCGAAGTAAGACAATACAGAACGCAAATTCTACGGAAGGAAAAGCTCCTTTAAAAACTTCATCATCCAATGTTGACAAGCCGATCTCCAATAATCTTAAGTCCTTCACCTTCAATGATCTAAGAGAGGCCACTAAGAACTTCAGGCAAGAAAACTTAATTGGAGAAGGAGGGTTTGGATTTGTATACAAGGGGTGGATAGATGAGAACACTTGTGCTCCCACAAGACCAGGGACTGGAATTGTAGTGGCCATCAAGAAACTTAAACCAGAAGGTTTTCAGGGCCACAGAGAATGGCTGGTATGTCCAAGTCCTAGACAAACTCTTAAACTGTTTTCTAACTGCTTGGTGATGCTAGCCCTTGACTGATTTCTTCTCATTATGTTTGCAGGCAGAAATCAATTATTTAAGCCAGCTTCACCATGACAATCTGGTGAAACTTATTGGTTACTGCTCAGATGGGAAAAACAGGCTTTTAGTTTATGAGTTTATGCAGAAAGGAAGTTTGGAAAATCATTTATTCAGAAGTAAGTATTACATTCACTCTTCAACATCTTTAGTCTCAAATGATCCATTGAGTACCAATGTGCAAAGGGGTATAAATAGGAAAGACTAAGCTTTGGTAGGCCTGAACCTAGCCTGTTCTAGTTTGAGATTTATGCAGAAAGGAAGTTTGGAAAACCTTCTCAGAAGTGAGTAGTACATTAACTCTTCAACATATTTAGTCTTAAATCTAGCCTAATTCATGTGCAAAGGGGTTCGAAAGAGATTAGGCCAAACTTTGATAGACTTAAAAATCTAGCCTAATTCATAATTGCAAAATGAGTCTGATCTGATTATCTATTACATGTCAATAGTCTTCACTTAAGTTGTTTGAAGGCTCGGCTTAACCTCTAAACCTACTTACATGATCTGATTTATGTAAGTCCTGTAATCAGGCCAGACCTATAAGCCTGTAAATCTTCATAGGCCTTCAAAAATTCATTATAAGTAGTTGCGTTTTTATATTAGCATATTGTCATATATGTAAAAGATATTTTTTATATAATGTAATAATATTATATCATATCATGCATGTATATTAGCAGACCAATCTATCAAGTCTAATAGACTTTTTTTTAAAGTCTGAAGAAACTTGGTCTTTTTATATAAACTAGCCTTTTAAAAAGTCTGAATCTTCCTTCTTAATAAACAGTTCGGGTCTAATGCAGGGCCTAAAAGAACTTCTGACCTATTAAGCATTTACACCCTTATGTGCAACATGTGTTTGAACTGAACCATAATTTCCTCTTTGTTCATAATACTTTAAATTTTATTTTCTATTTCCGCAGAATGTGTTCAACCAATTCCCTGGATTACCCGAATAAACATTGCAGTTGCTGTTGCAAGAGGACTAACATTTTTACATACCCTTGATGCAAATGTTATATATCGTGATTTAAAGGCCTCCAACATCCTACTTGATTCGGTATGTAAGTTGAAAGTTTGGTTTGTGGATTTGTGAAGAAAACCACGCCTGCTGTTTGCATGAAAATCTCCATTCTGAAAGAGTAGCACTACTATTTATGCAGGATTTCAACCCAAAGCTTTCGGATTTTGGTTTGGCAAGAGATGGTCCTACTGGAGATAACACTCATGTATCAACCAGAGTTATTGGAACTCATGGTTATGCTGCACCAGAGTATGTAGCTACAGGTAGATTTGCCTTCCCATTTTTCTATATCCTTATAAAAGTGTTTAGATTGACAGTACCAGAAAGAAAAAACAATAACATGCAATACTACGCTGTTATATTATTAATGAACACTTTAGACTTTCTTTATTACAATAATTGATGCAAATTTGAATGCATAATATACCAGTTCACTACACTCTAATATGTGTAAGTACTTAATAAAAGTGACCTAGCACTTAGCCTAGGTAATTTGTGTGTCACTTCTTCCTACAGGATCACTGCTGAAAATGAAGAAGTAAATTTGGCTAAAATATATGTTATTACATTTGTATAATAAGAAACAAAAAGCAAAACTTTTAATATTATTTCTTCAAAAACTCTAGAGAGCCTTCTGCACGTATGAGACAAATACTAATTAGTGTTCCATTTACTGTGCTGTTATGTCCAAGATTTGTACAGTTGATGAACCTATCTTTTCCTATTTATAATAAGTTGGCATTTTGACTAAACAAACAGGTCATTTGACCCCAAGGAGTGATGTATACAGCTTTGGAGTTGTGTTGTTAGAGTTGCTAACTGGAAGGTGTGTAGTCGAAGATGAGAGACCTGGAATTTCAGAAGAAACACTGGTGGATTGGGCAAGACCTTTCCTGAGTGACAGCAGAAGAATTTTGAGAATCATGGACTCAAGGTTAGGTGGTCAATACTCCAAGAAAGGAGCACAAGCTGCAGCAGCACTTGCACTACAATGTCTAAATACAGATCCGAAATACAGACCAACTATGGTAAATGTTCTAGCAGTATTGGAAACACTAAATTCCTCAAATTCATTCCCAAGGACCCCAAAATCTGGAACTGAGAATCATACAACAAAGTATTCTAGTCATTCCCAAAAATCAGCTACAAATAGTAACAAACTATGAGCTGCCTTTCTCTCTGTGCTAATAATGCTTCTGCATCCCAACAAATGCTTTCTTCTTTCAATTTTTGCTGCTAATTGTAAGTTTGTTTTATAAACATTTTTAGGAGAAAAAAAAAAGTAGAAAGGAAAAATAAGATAAGCTTTTGTGAAAACTAAAATTAACTTATGCATAAATTAATATGAGATCATTTCTACAAACTTGTTTTGTGCATAAGTTAATTTTAGTCTGTAAAGAAATTATTATTATTTTATTCCCTTAAAAAATACTGAAATAGACATTCATCCAAACATGTTGATTGGAAAGCATAAGCAAGCTTAAGCAACTATATGCTTATATAATATCATATGAACTGAGAGCATGTGCGCTAGCTTTTTGAATATTAATCTTCCCAATTAATGTCCTTAGGGTAGTGGTTGAAGAGTCTATAATTTTCCATAAAAAAAAAGGTGGGAGTCTATAAAAAAAGAACATATTAGAGATGTATTTGAAATCATATCTTTCGTTCCCCTGTAGATTCCGTATGTAATATCTATCGTTTACCTTGAATAATTAAAAGCACTACAATTTGTGTTTGGAATAGGTGTGAAATAAGAAAAGACATATATATATATACATACATACATACATATATATATATATATATATATATATATATATATATATATATATATATATATATATATCAACAATATATTATAAATATAATCAATTATATATAATGAGTTTTACGCCTATATATGTTATTTAAAAATTGATTTTAAGATAATCTATTTTGTTTCGATTATTTAGAAGTTTTTTATTATTATTATTATTATTATTATTATTATTATTATTATTATTATTATTATTATTATTATTGCAGTGTTCCTAAAAGAATTATAATTTTTTATTTGTTTGATTGTTCTGCATTCAAAATAATCAATGTAAGGTTAATATGAAAAACTAGGGGATGAGTCAGTAACTTTTAATTATATACTCTAAACGTTAAGTTGTTTCCTTTGTTATAATTATAATCAAATAGTGAAATACAGATTACTATATGGATGTTTTATAGGTAACAACAAAAATTTTAATATCAGTATTTTAATTGACATTATGTTTCTGTGCTTTTATTATTATTTTTATTAATTCGCGTATCTTTTACAACACACAATCTTAATTGAGTTGATAAGATATCTACGATAAAAAAATTTCTAAATATTTATTGTAGTTGTATATCTAAAATTTAAACTTGAATCTAAATCTAGTATTAATAAAAAATATTTTCCACACGTTTTTGTAGAAAGTAATTCTTATATGATTACAACCAGAAATCTTAAGGCAGTGAAAGTAAATAACGGCAGATTTCTGGTCGTAACATTTTACCATAATGTAGGCTTTAATCAAATATTAATCAAAGGCAGTGAATCTAATTGAATATTTTTGGCCACCAACTAAATTGGGAACCGAAATTTACAATGCAGATTGTACTATGTTAAGTACTATTGATACTGAATTAGAAATATATCAGAGGTGTAGATCTAGGTTACAACAATGCTGCAATTCAAGAAAATAAGGGTAATTAATAATTCGAAGGTAGAAGCTAGCTCCTAACAAGATGAACAACAGAGAAACAAATGACAGAAATTAGAGAATATCTTTCTTGAAGAAGAAGCAGCCTCTTCACTCGGACTAACCGATTACCAATTTATTCTTGCATTGTATTCGGTTACCACACTCATCATATAATCCTGTCTCCCCTAGCCACCCGTCATTTCTGTTATTTTCTCTCTCCTTGAACCATATCCACATGTTCCGCTTCTGCCTCCTTTACAATTTGTTTATTTCTTCTTCCACAATCTCTCTTAATTCATAATTTCACTTCCCAACGCTACCACTACCATAAGCATTCATATTGAGCCTATCTATTCTACATTTTATGCCTATCATGCTAAAGTATAATCCTAACTTAAAAAATTGTACAAGCAAGTACCCTGAAATGAATATCAATAAGCAGCTTCTTGTAACACATTTGGATGTATGCTACTATCATTCATACATAATGCACAGGACTCAATGAGTATAGTGAAAAAAAAACAACTACAAATCAGAGGTTCACTCTTCTTTGGCGGTGCCCATATGATTAGGACCACCGAACATTACCGAAGGTGGCTGCATGCATTCAAGTAATGAGAATAGTATATGTCAATAGTATACAAACCATTGAGGTCAGATCTCATCATCTTCTAAATAACTTGATCCGATCTTTTATCAGGGTATTGCGAAATCATAGTGCTAGCACTGATCATCGTAAGAAAGTATATTTACTGCTGCCAACCATATTGTTGTTGATTTCGGTTTCCACCCATCATGTTTGAGGCTCGACCAGCCCCTGAACCTCCATATGGACCACCTTGTTGGGGATAATTCGGAGCTCCAACTCCATAGCCACTGCCACCACCACCGCCACGAGGACCGGCACCAGGCATGCTATTAGACCCATAAGGTGCACCCCGCCCTTGAGGAGGATAAGGTCCAGTGCCATAACCCCCACCACCTTGACCTCCTCGATTTGGGTGATTGTATCCTCCACCTGGGTTCCCATTGGGAGGATATCTTCCTGGCCCACCAGATGGACCTCGAGGCTTCCCATAATGATGAGTAGGTCCTGCAGCAACTTGGGGTTGAGAACCATGAATTGGTTGGTTTGGTCCAGACCGCATTTGGGCATGTTGTCCAGGCTGCTGAATGGGGGGGAGACGAGTGTGCTGCTGTGGATGCTGCATTTTCTGACGCTTAGCCATTTCTTCATTTTCCCGTTGTTTTTGACGCTTTTTCTTTGTCTGAAACTCATGTGATGACTCGTATTTGGGTAGACTAAGCCATATAGAAGAGTAGGAAATTGAAAAGTATAGACCAAAAGAGATTAGTAAAATAGAAACAATATAGTAAAAAGGAAAAGGGTTAATGAGAAAATATTTAATCCAATTAAGATCACATAACTTCACGGAAAAGTAGCATTTCAAAATAAAAAACTAATGTACATGGAGGGTCTTACCTCTTCGGGTCGCATGGTAATGGATCTGTCCAGAAATACTCAGCATCAAGGGCATCTTTCGCAGTAATTCTCTGTACAAATCAAATTGAAACAAATGTTAGGCTAAAGATCATGAACAAAATTAATTATCAAAAAATCACATAAACAAGTGGCAAATAATAAAAATAATTTGCTTACATATTTTTTGTTACAATAAATTTTTTAGATTATGCCAAGAACACAGCTTGATATTTATAAATGACAGCACACAGTTAATTACTTTGCAAAATTTGTCTCAATTAGCAAGCACTATGCATAATATTTTTTTGGTTTTCACAAAAGAAAACAGATCTATACCACTTTTCTCTTACGCTTACAGATTTTTTTTTCAACATATATGATATAATATAATAACAAAATAACAACAGTAGAAACACTTAGCCAGTAAACGATATTGAGTGATAAAAAAATAAAACTGGAAAAGCAGTTATTTGAACCCCTTAAAATAGCAGTTCAATATCATTTAAGTAATTAATCAAGACTTATAAGTGAAAAAATGATACCTGAGCTGGATCAAGTGTCAACATCTTCTCCAACAACTCCAGAGCATGATGATCAAAACTGTAAGTCATAGAGAAATGAGCTATTTAGATACAACAAAAAAAAAAGTCCTAGAAAATGAAATATATGTTGGCTTATCTTGTGGATAAAAAGGCCTCTGTATACTTTCTGATACTTACTGCCGGAAAACTTCCCGCAATCGTCTTTTCATTGGCCTTGTTGGCATAAATTTATTATAGTAAGGTATCTTAGAAACCCCAGGCCAATTGATTTCAGTTGGTGCTCCACACAGCTCATATATTTTATTTAATTGTTCTGGCTACAAGCATTACAAACAAAGCCAGCATTAAATTTAAGCTGTAAAAAAAAAAAAAATCTCGAGGATACACAGTAATCCCAATTAAAAGAAAGATCTGGAGGATATACAGTGATGTCAATTAAAAGAAAGATCTGGAGTGAATGTAATGACTAAATTTCCAAAAAGTACAGAGCAGGTTGGATCCAGTAATGTACCCAAACATCATCATAAGCATTTCACCTTTCCTTGACGATTAAAATATAAATTAAGTTCAAGATAAAAATTTAGTTCCCCGACTTAGCACAGAAAATCTCAACATTTTGGCCTCTACATGAAAAATGTTTACAAATGAAAACTGGCAATCTACACTATTTACTTTATTTGTTTTAATTCTTTTACAAAAAAATACACTTTGTTTTGTTAAGTCCCTACAATAAAAAGAAATGTCTTACACTTGTACTAACTTTATCAGATTGGAGAGACCAATTAATGTATGGATTACGGACCAAAATGTCGAGCATTTACATTCAGGGACTACAAAGAAAACTGGTGTCACAGGTGAGGACTAAATTTTTAATTTAACCTAAAATTAACTTTTAGAGTAATGCATATATATTCAAAATCAAAAGAAAGCAATGAATGTCTATTTTAATGAAACAGAAGGTTGTTTATGTCATGGCAAGTGTCAAGACACTGAATATGAAGAGCTAGAATGTAAAGAATCTCTTCTTGCTTCCATTTATGCATAATCTTACTAATAATAATATACAAGATAAAATCATATCTAGTCCATACACAATATCACATCAATCAATCATTAATTTAGCTCTAATTTCTCTCAACAATCATACATAGAATATTACTAACCTCATCTTTTCCAGGAAAGATAGGCTTCCCCTGAAGAAGCTCAGCAAAAATGCACCCAACTGACCACATATCTACAGCTGGCCCATACTTTGTTGTCCCTAGCAGCAACTCCGGTGGTCTATATATATAACAAAAAACTAAACATATGCATTGGCCGATCTCATAACTCATGACAAAAAACGAAACTGATTACCTGTACCATAATGTAATGACACGATTTGTAAGATTAGCATTTTGATCATTAGAAAATGATCGTGCCAGTCCAAAATCTGCAAGCTTAAGATTTCCTTCATTGTCTATAAGAAGATTTGAGCCTGCAACAAAACAAAATACATAAAATAGGAATAATAGATTGTAATATTCTGATCTAGATGCATAATCTTATCAATATACAGACCTTTGATATCACGATGAAGTACTTGATTTACATGACAATAGTGAAGCCCTGTCAGAAGCTGTCTCATGTAACACTTAGGAAAGGAAGGGAAACATAAACTCAGACAACAATAAAATGAGAGAATATTAATTTATGAAATAAAACTTGGTATTAACAGTAATACCTTAATTTGAGGAACTGTAAATCTCATCCCAGGTCGGTCAGCAAGACCTGTTAAATCATGGTCCATATATTCAAAGACCATATAGATGCCACCTTTATATTTGTTACCATCTGCAATCCCCAAAATAAGTATGAAAAGCAGAAAAACTAGGTTGTATGCTAACCCCAAAGGAAATTGACAGAAATATTCAAACCACTAGAACTAAAAACCATATTATGTGCTACTGTCCAGCAATCGGGTAATAAAACGAGAATGAATGACTTGCCTGGCCTCCCCTGTTCATCTTTCTCAGGACCTGAAAGAAAAAAACATAAAATTTTATATATATAGATAAAACAATTTTTTAAATCCTAAGTCATAGCAATTCAATAACAAAGTTAAGTTAGATCTTGAAAAAGGGTACCTTGAGAAGTCACAATTTCTTTCAGCTTTATCACATTTTCATGATGTAGTTTTTTTAGAATTTTGATTTCTCGTATAGCAGTTATAGGAAACTGCAATGGCAAAATTTACAATACAGTTCAGAGGAGAAATTCTAGCAGTAGAATAACTTCTGATTTAGGTCCACTGAATAGGCCAAAAAAGAAGTTCTAAAAGCACAGGCCGCAAATAAAAAAAGTGTACAAATGAAGCAAAATACAAAATAAAATACATTATGTATCCATAATGTCATAAACATTAAGATTTTTAATCGAAGATATACCCCCTCTCTCTCATTGTCCATACGTATTTTCTTCAGAGCAACAATTTCACCTGTTTTGATCTCTTTAGCCATATAAACCTGACTGCAGCATAAAATATGAAGGTATGGATCAGTTTCACGCCATAATGTATCAGCAATTGCACGTGAGAAGCAGCCAACTAAACCATGAAAAACAATCAAGGTTTAACGAAAGTTTTGTAATCGTGATCTCAGCCACAACATCAAGATTCTTGGATCCTCACAATCCACATTGCAACTTCAATTGTGGCCCCATCCGCCACATGTATTCACACTTTCCCATAATATCAAGGATTGGCAACAAAACTGTAACGGTGGTCGCGATTTTAAACCATGGAACCAATAAATAGATTAAAAAAAAGAAAGAAAGATGCATAACAAGTAAACCTCAATGCCCCCAGCAATAAATAGCTATGACGATTTCTTCAATCTAAATTTTCTGACTGATAAGAGCTACATGGTCAGAATCAAGTGTTCTAGAAGATTCAGGTTTAAGTTGTTTTCAATTTCTGCCTAGCTCGACAGAATCCCTCCTTATTCCAATAGAGTGTTGCATAGTAAATACGTATTGTTATCATCGAGGGCATAAATTTTCAACTTCCATGTTCACAAAGACAACCCACAAACAAAAAAAATGCAAAGCTTAGCAGTACGCAAATTGAAACAAACCCATATGTGCCCTCGCCAATTTGCTCCAATTTCTCGAAGCAATCAACACTTCTGGATCCACTAGTGGGTGATTCATTAACGTTCAATTGCCCTGGAGCTGCAATAGCCATTGCCCCTCAATCTTCCAAATTCCTAATTCGAATCCAATAGCGAATAGAATGAATCAGGGTTCCTTTTAGGGTTTCTCGCGCGCGAAATTTCGCCTAAAATCTCCCCAAAAAAATTGAAGCTGGTATTCGGCTTCTTTCAACTGAAAATTCTGATTTGAGAGTTGTCGAAATAAAACGAATTTTCAAAATAATATAATATCCTTCATTTTCATTTTATAGGCACAGTATATTTTTCATTTGATAAAAAATCAATTAGAAAATAATATTATTACATAATATATAAATATGAGAAAATCTATTTATATATAAAACCCTTTTTATTTATCATATTATTCATTTAAATATGACACGTAAATTTAAATCATGTATTAATTAAAATTTTAAAATTTCAAAAATCATAAAAGTTATATCTACACTCTCAAAAAAAAAATCAACTTAACATTAGAACTACTTTATTATATATATATATATATATATATATATATATATATATATATATATATATATATATATATATATATATATATATATATATATATAAAGAGGTCCAACCAATCTATGTATTAGGAATTTTAGAAATACATGTGGTTAAAATAAATTATAAATTAATCTAAATTTATATAATATTTAATTATTTGATCAAAAAATATACTCATACTTATTTGATTAGTGTACTTAATTATTTATTTTAAAATCAATGACAATTATTAAATGTGTGATCAGTGTTATAATACACGAAAATTATGTATATAAAATTTTTAGTCTAGAGAGAATCAAAGTTTTATGTTCACTATATAATATTATTATTATTATTTAACATGTTTTTATAGTAATTTTTATAATAATTTAGTGTTTTTTTCAATAATCACTAGGTTAGAGAGAGTAATAGTAATATTGTTGATAATATTATGATTGTTCATGGCATAACTAACGTTTGAGTTAATTAATGAAAATTTTAAATTTATCAATAAGAGAATATTTTTCATTATAAAATTATATTAAATTAAATTTTTTCAACACATTGAAAGGAGGTTGGTATTCTCAAAATTTTCCTTCAATAAAAAATGTTTTGATTTATTTTTACCTTAAAATGATTTGTTTTAAAGGATAAACCCCACCAATAGAATGCATGATGATAAATAGTCAATATTACGGGGTTTAGTAGTTGACTTTGACTTTGAAACCCAATTCCTAGGTTGACCCACTATAGTCATGATTGACCGTAGACTTTGACCTACCTGCCAGAGGCGGGTTGATGAGTTTAGCTAACCATAATTTAGAAAAAATAATTTATTTTTTAAAATCAAAATTTTCAATAAATTTAATATTAAGATTATTATTTATTTGTCTATATTTCAATATATATATATATATATATATATATATATATATATTATTTCAATTTAATAATATAAATCAATACATTATTTTAAGAAATTATTGTAAAATATTATGTAGTTTTCCTACGCTCTTAATTAATTATGGAAAACTATTCTACAAGATTTTTAGATTATTGATCTTCACAATATAACATACATTAGTACATGAATCATAGTAAGAAGACTAACCTTGATCTATAAGAATCTATTTTTTAATCTTTTCGTTCTCCAATCTCCTTTTTCCAATCTATCCTTTTGTCTTTCTTTCTCTTCTCACGCTTTCTTGATAGTTTACCATGAAAAAAACCTTATGACCAGAGACAGAACCCCTATTCCATTTTATTAACCAGCGTCCATCAAGTTAGTTACCGTAAGCTAATATTTTATTTTATCTTTATTTTATTCTAACTTCACATAATAACCAATATGTCTTCATATTTTATTAAATCACATTTTGGCCCATTATTATATTTCACATGAGTCACATAATGGAATGAATGAATTAAATTAATTCTAACATTCTCTCACTTGACTCATGTGATGTCATACGATTCTGTGATTTAATACTTAAGTCATAATGCGCATTAAATGACCTTACATAAATTGGTTCTATCATTATTCATAATTAAAGATACAGCTATAACAAGAGTCATGGCGGTTACATGTCATTTAATCGACAGGCTCTCTTCCATGTACCACTATATTATCTCTTTCTCCTTAATATGACTTTATAATGAGAAGTCCATAATGAGTTCAAACATAATATCATTTTAATAATAATAACATAATTTATTTTCTTCATCATAATTTGCATGCATATAAATAAAGAAGAAAACACAAATTTCAGAAACTTATACATTAAAGATCTCAGAGTGTCACATAAACATTAATAATAACATTAACATTCAATATTCACTACTAGTAAACATAATGTCCATATTTACTATATGGACAGCAAACAACTTGGGCGATAATCCCTTTGTTAAAGGATCAGCAATCATAAGATCAGTGCTAATATGTTCTATTGACATTCTCTGTTTCTGAACTTCTTCTTTAACGAAAAAATATTTTAATTTCATATGCTTAGCACCTTTGGAATACTTGTCATTCTTAGAAAAGAAGATTGTTACGGAATTGTCACAATAAATTTTCAGCGACTTGGCAATGTTGTTGACTACTCCAAGTCCTGAAATGAAATTCCGTAACCAATTAGCTTGGACTGTGACCTCAAAGCATGCCACAATTTCAGCTTCTATGGTGGATGCAACAATGACAGACTGCTTCTCACTTTTCCATGAAATCACTCCTCCAGCTAAAAGATACACATAACCAAATGTAGACTTTCGTGTATCCATACAACCAGCAAAATCTGAATCTGTATATCCAATCACCTCAAGGTGATCAGCTTTCTTATAAGTAAGCATGTGATTCTTTATTTCTTGTAAGTATCTTAAAACTTTCTTTGCAGCTTTCAAATGATCCAGTCCAGGATTACTTTGGTATTTACCCAGTATACCAACTGCAAAGCCAATATCTAACCTCGTACATATTTGAGCATACATCAAACTCCCAACAACAAATGCATAAGGGATATTTTCCATTTGTTTCTGTTCCAAGTCATTCATTGGACATTGCATGAGACTAAATTTGTCTCATTTCTGTATTAGAACGGGAGATGCTGAACACTTCTCCATTCTGAATCTCTTTAAAATTTTATTAATATATGCTTTCTGAGACAAACCTAACAGTCCTTGTGATCTATCATGGAATATTTCTATTCCTATCACATAGTATGCCTCACCCATATCTTTCATTTCAAAGTTGTTAGAGAGAAACTTCTTAGTCTCACTTAATAGACCAAGATCATTAGTCGCAAGTAAGATATCATCAACATACAGAATCAGAAATATAAACTTGCTCTCACTGACCTTCAGATATATACACCGATCAATAGTGTTTTCCTTAAATCCAAAGGACATAATAGTATCATTGAACTTAAGATACCATTATTGAGAAGCTTGTTTAAGTCCATATGTTCATTTCCTTCTTCAATAAACCCCACTGGTTGATTCATATAAACATCCTCCTCTAAATCTCCATTCAGAAAAGCAGTTTTAACATCCATTTGATGCAACTCAATATCATAATGAGTTACTAATGCCATGATAATTCTAAAGGAATCTTTCTTAGAAACAGGTGAAAATATTTCCTTATAATCAATGTCATCTTTCTGAGTAAGATCTTTGACAACAAGACGGGTCTTGTAACGTTCGATATTGCCATGAGAGTCACGCTTAGTCTTAAAGACCCATTTACACCCAACACCATTGCATCCTTCTGGCAATTCCATAAGATCCCATACACCATTATGTGCCATTGATTTAAGCTCATCTTTCATAGCATCTAACCATTTGTCAGAATTATCACCATTAATGGTGTCTGAAAATGAAATTGGGTCATTATCAATACTTAGGTCATTTTCTGACTCTTGTAGATAAACTACGTAATCATTTGAAATAACAGACTTTATTTCTCTGTGAGATCCTCTTAATATTATTTCTTGTGGTTGTTTTATTATCGGTTCATTGTTAATCTCGGGATCATTAATTTGTTGTTCTTATTGATTGTCGTGTGGTTCTACAACATGTGGAACAACAACTATTGAAGAAGATGTACTAGTTACAGAAACTTTTACTCTAACTTCCTTAATCTCCACATTTCGTGAAGCTTCACTCCCACTGGTTTCACCATTTTCAATAAATCGAGCATTTTCAGTTTCAACAATTCTTGTACTATGGGTATGACAGTAAAACATATATCTTTTTGATTTTTCTGGATAACCAATGAAATATCCACTGATTGTTCTTGCATCCAGTTTCTTTTCTTGCGGATTATAAATTCTTACTTCTTCCTGACTACCCCAAACAAGCAGGTGTCTCAAACTAGGTTTCCTACTTTTCCATAACTCAAAATGAGTCTTTTGAACAACTTTACTAGGAACCCTGTTCAACAAATACATGATAGTCTTTAAAGCATACATCCACAATGATACAGGTAAACATGAATTACTTAACATACTCCTAACCATATCAAATCATAGAAGTACGCTTAAACAAACTGAAGCAACCATTCTCAAACTTAAAAGAGTATCCAACAACATCAAGCTTAGACAAAGAAACTAAATTTCTAATGATATTAGGTACATAAAAAGTATCCATAAGGTCTAAGTGATATCCAGTGTCAAGGATTAAATGATAAGTCCCGACAGCTTCCACTGGAATCTTGACTTTATTCCCCATGAAGACAAACTTCTCATTTGAGTTTATGGTTCGGGTTGAAAGGAATCATTGAATTACATTATAAACATGAGTTGTACATCCAGAATTAATCCACCAAGTATTATGGGAAACTTCAGTTAAGTTTGATTCAAAACATACGTAAGCGCTATGCTCACCTTTCTTTTCGAACCAAGCTTTACGCTTTAAGCAGTTCTTTTGAAAATGTCCAGACTTACCACAAAAATAACAGTTACCATTTTTTCTTTTGAATGTTAGTAGATGACTCGTTAATCTTTAATGGTCCTTCCATGTTTCTTAACAACTTTCTTTTTAACTCATTGAT